GACGAACACCTTGCCAGGGTTGTTTGACCCCAGTACTTTTTCCTGCCATGACAGGGGGGCGGACTTGATGATCTGCTCAGGTCCCTTCCGACCCTACCAACTACGAAACTATAAATATTTGTAAATCAGAAATTCTGGTTTCAGGCAAAATACTTCCAAAGGGAAGGAAATCTCTGCAGCAAGCAATAAATATTCCCATTCATATTCTTTGAAAAGTGCCAGAAGCTGAATCTTATAGTGCATGGGTACAGCACAGGTTCAAGGACCACAATGCATCACCTACAGCTACATAGTTACTATGACAACAGGCTATCTGAAAGCCATATTACTTCAGGAGAGACAGGTATACCCCTTTTCCTTCCACAGCACTTAAAAGAGCACACTCTTACCTACTTGTACCTGTTCCAAGCTCACTGAAACCACTCTGAGGGTGACCCCCACCAATGTTCAAGCATGGCAGAGGCAAAGATTTCAAGTTACAAAAGTTAAAACTCTTTTAATGTAACTTCTGCGTCAAAGGGGAAGTGGGTGCCCTGCAGAAATCCCAAATGGTTAAGATCAGTTTTGGAGGAAGAGAGATTGAGCCCCATGTGGGCAAAAAAACAAACCAAACCATCAACAGCATCTGAACAAGATTATTTTGAATCTGCTGTCAGGGGGGAGGCACGTTATATCAGCAACTCTTTGATCAAAGGAACACAAATTTGGTCCACTAATCCTATCCCAACCTCATAACAATACACGGAACAGCTAATTTCAAGAAATCTGAATAAGAGTATGGATTTTAGAACATGTAGACCCAGTTGCTATTCTGCCTACAAGATGTCTTAGGACTTAGCCTCCTGCTCATCCCAAGTCTCTATCTAGCTCCAGAGAAGAATCCTATTTTACCCAGAAAGCTGCACAGACCCTCCCATTCTAGGCAGCCTAGTGTGCTTCCATAAACTAACCCTATTCCACCACATAGAATAACCAGGCACTTCCATTTGGGTAATGGGAAGCCTTAAGTGACAGCCTTAAGTGACTCCAGAGATGGATCCTATTCTACCCTATAGAATTATGGAGCCCTCTTATACTTCCAGTGGACAGCCTTATTCAACTCTAGAGGCAGATCTCTTCTACCCAGAGAAGTACATAACTCTTCATTTTCTCAATGGACAGCCTCTGTATAGCCTTAGCAGACTCCATCATTTTGAGATCTACCTTAGAGGCTAAAACTCAGGGCAGACTCCCACTTTTCCAGTGAACCCATCTCACTGGGCCACAGACCTATGATCCCTTGCATCCCCTTGTTTTAGCCCCTAAATCTTCCCATTTTAGCTGCCCATTAGCCTAACTTCAATAACAGTAGAGAATGCTCTCAACCCCACCTTGTTCATGGGCTGATATTTACAGTACTGTCTTGGGAAATTGGAAACGGGTTCAAACTCACCTGTGGCTGAGGAGACCAAGAATCTAAGTACCCATTTAATAGGCAAGTATCTTAACAATTAGGCGGCTGGAAAAAGGTGATGGCACCTCTCCCTCACCAGGGTATATGGAGCAATGTCTGCACCAGTTGCTCTGCATAGTACCAACAAAGGATTCATGGACTCATGCACAACTTAATTGCACCCCCCCTCCCCAAATGGATCACAACACCGTATATCAGATGATTTCTGGGCATGCACAGAATGCCAAATCTAGTCAATTCATCAAATCGAAACAAGAACACATAAGTAATCCAGGCATTTTAATGAAATCTTGGCTGTTGCTTGAGGTGGGAAAGCATCATGTTTAGTGCCTGAGCTGTTTAAAAATTATGTAAATACCAATTAGATGTTTTAGAGGTAGAATTGGATCTGGACAGTAAGTTCTGCTATAATCAAACTATAAGAAAGAAATTTCTGGCCCTTAATTAAATGACTTTCAAAAGTTCTGCTAAGAGAAGGCTATATGCTATAATATAGAGAGCAGTAGTTAGCCATATTAGTCTGAAGTCAGGCAAAAGGCAGTGCAGTGTCCTGCCTTCTGTTGTAATATACAGAGGTACCCAACATAATTGCATCTAAGCTCATTACAAAGCATGGAAGAACACAAGTTCCTTCTAGGATAAGATCCAAATTCCTCTTAATGGTCAGACTAAATGCATACAGCCTTCCCAGATTCAGAGTGCAGCTTGCTCTGTTTTGGGTGTTTCTTTGGGTTGGGTTGGGTTGGGTTGGGTTGGGTTGAGTTGGGCTGGGTTAGGTGGCCTCCCCTCATGCCTCAACCCAAGGGATAAATCTTTATAGCTGAATTACTGCTTACTATTTATTACTACTATTTTGTATGTAGTAGTGCTTAAAAGTATGTCTACATCATGGAGGTGGAGTGCTCAGTAACAACACTGAGACAATAAGCCCTGCCCACCCACTTCTGCCCCCGACCCTAGAAGGCAGCATGGATGCCCTACAGAGAACACTATGCTCAAGACCTGGGTTTCTGGTCTGTTTAAGCGCAGCAGCTTTGGGTACTCCAGTTTGTCCACACCACCTCCCTCTCCACCTCTCTTTGGGAGTTAATATACATGGAGCAGGGATAAGAGGGCAGGGCTTATTACCTCAGCAGGGTGACTGAACATTCTGCCATCAGAGTGAAAACATATCCAATAAGCTCAGTCACAGGTGTCATGCGAAGGCACAGGGCTTTGGGAATTCCCAGGCTTCTAGACCACCCCATATCTCCTTGTTAAAACCTACACCTCCCTGTGCCTCAACATGAAGCATGGGTTGGCCCAGAACCCACCATAGGTCCCAGCTTGGAGACATGGGGTCACACAACTCCTGGCATGGAGGTTTGGAATCCCCCAGGTTACCTGCATTCATGCTGGGACCTGCACAGGCTTTCCTGCTTACAGAAATGGGCTCCTGGAGATCCTGAGGTGGGTCTCTAAGTGGGGAGCCCCAATTTTTCTCACTTGCAGAAAGGCATTGGGGGTCAGCTTCATAAGCAGTGAAAGCTGGGAAGGTGTTCCTAGGGCTTGAAGGGCCTGATCCTGTGTGGGAGTTCCCAAAGTCCACAAAAGTGGGCCCCTCAAGAACCTGGAGCACCTGCCCAGGGCACCTAGAGAGGGTGGGCAGCTCCAGATCACCCACATTCTCCCACCAGAGGGCAACTAGACATCCATCACCATAAAGTAGCATTCTTTAAACACTACCTTTTGTTGTGCCACTGACATGGATATAGACATCTGCTTGCCATTTGTGCTCCCTTAAAATGTATTTATGGCAATACAAAGGCGATGTCAAGCAATGTCCATTTATATCCTGCAAGACTGCACTGCCATAACTTCTGCTTGATTTCTACAGCTACAACTCTGGGCACTGTGGCAATCAACCCTACCACCACTCTACCTTCCCCAACCCCTCAAGAAACTTTCTGGACCTGTGGGGAGTCCCGCTCCCCATCCACGCATTGGATAGAGCTGAAGCACAGAGCTGGTCCTCAGCCAGAGCCAGTGTGCCAATTCTGACCTAGCACACATCCACAGCTCTGGCATGCCAGGTCCAATCCCACATGCTAGCTCCAAAGCCATGTGCTGTTAGACCTGATGCACCAAGTCCAGGACCCAGTGTTGGCTCTGAGGCTGTGACAGGTCAGATACTGCACATGGCTCCAGAACCAGCACATGATCCTAGACTTGGCATGTGATCCCAAAGCCAGTGTGTGGGATCAGACCCAGCATGTGGTTCCAAAGCTAGCAGGCAGTCTCAGACTCAGTGTGCTCTCAGACTGCAAGGCCCCAGACTCATTGTGCAGCCCCAGACCTGCTAGGCTGGATGAAGCCCAGCACATGGCCCAGACCTGCTTGCACAGGGTCAGGCACATCACGTGGCCCTAAACCCAACATGCTGGATTGGTCCGTGGCCCCATCTGGCACATAGGGCTGGCAGCAAGCTCAGCTCCATAGCCACTGTTCTTCAAATGCTTAATCAAGACAAGATATTTTCTTTTTCATGGTACATGGCCAACTCTAGATTGTGAACTTACTGTGACCAACAGCAGTACCATCATATATACTTGGCTGTCTCCAGGAAGCCCCTCCCTCACCCAACCATAGGTAATGCTTGGGGACATAAGCAAAGCTTGGGGACAGTCTAACTGATACTATCACACAATCTGTTTTTTTAGTGTTGCATGAACATGGATATACTACACTCAGTTGGGAGGAGTGTAACATGGACTAAGCAGCACCTCCAAGATACAAAATTAATTGTACAAGCCAATTCTAGTGTACGTTCTTATGTACACAAGTAAATTTACAAGTGAGGAGTCCTGTTAAAGACTATGGACTACCTGTAGAAACAAAGTTACAGGTATGATTGTGTACAAAGTTTAGCCAAAGAATCAATCCCAAAATGCTTACAACCTGAGGGCCATAAACTGATAGACACTTAAGAATGGGGACAGTGAATGCATATTTCAAGAATCACGATCCCCATTAGAAAGACATATATAGATGGTGGGAGCAAAGGAGGCAACTTGGAAAAGGTATTACTTGCTGATACTCATATGCCATGCGACAGGTTAGATATTTTTTTTACTTAGAATTGTGTGAGCAAGTCAAAAACAAACTATGGAGGCTGCACATTCCTGGCAGGACGTGTTTGTTTCCTTACTACATGGATATGGAAAACTGGCAAAGTAAAGAAACAATTAAAAGCTATATTAAAATGCTATTCTAATGTATAACTTTTATGTTATCTGAGTATTGGCTTATAATGAAAACAGGGGCAGATTTTACAGTGGAAGTATGCTTCTACTTCAAAAATTCAGCCAAATTAATTTATAGCTTTGACACCGATCAGATATTAAAAAAACTTAATTTGAGAGATAATTATTTTCACCAATTAATATATGCAAATTAAATTCACTACATTTAATGAGCCTATCATTTTGACAATTTGTGAATTAATATGTTCTTAATGGAAATAATTCAGAGTAATTTATACAGCTCAGCTATCTTTACAAAGGATTACCTTCACAGTAGGCATTGTCTTCCCGAAGGGTTCTGAAACCATCTCGACAACTACAGACGGCTCTGTCCTCTAGATTCCTACAGACAGAATGCTCCATGCAGTTATGTCCTTCAGAACAAAAGTCATGGCCTGTATGAGAACAGAAGTGATGGATGGTTAAAAAGAAACCAAAGATTACAAAACCATTTTCAACATTCCAGTGTTTTCTCAAGTTAGGCCACATGATTCCTTTCAGCACAGCATCTCCTGCTCTCCAGAAGATAAGCAGTTACCTTTTGATAACAAGTATGTAGCATCTTGCAGAGTAGCTACAATATACATTCATTTCTAGACCTCCAGGTTAACTCCAGCTCAGGTCAATGATGAGAAAAAGCTACATCTGATGGCTCATAGGTGGCTTATTTAAATTACTTTATCAAAGAGAAAGTTTTCTTTTTATACAGGATCTCCCTTAGTTCTTTATGGTTCAAACAGTATCTTCATTTTTCTTTTAAAAATACAGCTCTAAAAAAAGAAATTCTATAATTTATTTACTAAATGGTATTGTTTTTTCCGCGTACTTCTCGTTTCCCAGGTACATTTTTAATATCTTTCTATCTTTCGTAAAGACCTTTGGTTCAGATTAACTTATTTTGTTTTCTATACCTTCTCCCTTCAAGTCTCAACAGGGTATTATACTAGATCAATTCCCTGCTACTGTCTACTTTAGAAAAGTTTAATAAGAAATGAATTAATCTGTTTCTGGTCCCTTTTCCTTTCATTCCTTCTTTTCCCCACAGAAAGACTGTTTTCTACTGGGCCTTAATTAAGAATATTTTTTATGTTTCTGTACCTTTTTACCAAACTGGTGGATGTGAAATCAGTCTCCTCACCCCCTCATGCAATAGTTGTTTTTTTTTAATTCAACAAATTATCTTGCTATCTAATGTCACAGTATTGCTATACTTTGTGAGCCTCTTTTCCACTATGATGAATCTGTGATCACAGATTTGAAGCTCCTGTACAATTTCCACACTCTATATAAGTTTGTGCAGTTGGACTGCCCCACTGTTCTCTTGTTCTTTTATTTTTGTTCAATGATTAAATTTGCTGTAATTTTTTTAATAGTGGCTTTAGGTTTAGTCAAACAATGATCCTTTGTTATTACAGTTCCTGCTTTCTTGTAAAGGCACCTGCAATGCAATGTATAGAACTGGAAGGGCTCATGAATATAAACTGAAGTGAAGATGCTACCAGACAAACACAGGTCTCTCATCATGTAACAGTGATCTGGATGCTTGCGTAAGTGAAGTTCTCTCTCCTTACTTCCCAGTGGGCATGTCTACTTGTTCATTAATGCACAGTCGTTACTGCACATTTATTTAGTTTTTGTATAATCAAGTACTAAATAAATGTGCAGTAACCAGAGTTACTGATCAGTAGCCTGATAATACTGCACAGAAGCGTATTAGCACTGTTTGTGTCTTGTGTAGATGCACCCAGTTCTGCTTTTTTTGCTTGCTCCTGTGCATCATCTTTAGTGCAACAGTAATTAGGTTACCATTAACAACAGAAAAATAAAAACCGGAATCTGCTAAGGGGTAAGGTCAGAAGAGAGGTTGCTTTCTTGTATGAGGCTAGTCAGAAGGAGTGAAAACTAGGTGGATCAATATAAAATAAGTAATATCAACAATAAAGACAGAGTATACTTAGAATTGCTGACATGATCATGATGCTAATTCCATGAACTAGTTAGGTATCATAGGCAGATTTTTTTTAAAGTACAGTAGTACTCCCACTCTCCATATAAATTTTACATCCTGTTAACGAGCATGCAATTTTATTTTACAATTTGCCATAAAAAATAAAAATTACACTGCTGTCATATGAAACACGATGTTCAGAAGCAAAAACCCTACATTCTTAGCAATGTTAAGGGCCATTCATAACTCCCATTGCTATTGATGATGTTACATGCATTTCAAGACCAATATTTGTCCCTGTATCTGAAATAAAATAACTGCCAATGATTTGTCTTTTTGTCTTCCTTACAAAGCCTAAATTAAGAACAAAGAAACAATCATCATATTGAATTTTCTGCCTTTTCCTGGCTTATATCAAAACCTTGGCATTACAGAAAAATAAATGTACATTTTTCCAGTGATCAATATATTGTCTTAGATTACAAACCAATATAAGTATATCAGCAGTATTAAAAAAGCAGAATCATAGTATCATAGTGCTTAGGGTCGGAAGGGACCTAAACAGATCATCAGCTCTGGCCCCCTGCCCCAGGCAGGAATGGGTGCCAGGGTCATATCACCCCAGCCAAATATCTGTCCAGACTCGTCTTGAAGAGCCCTAAGGTAGGAGAGAGTACCACCTCACTTGGGAGCCCATTCCAGAGCCTGGCAGCCCTAACTGTAAAGTAATGTCTCCTGATGTCCAGCCTGAACCTTCTCTCTAACAATTTGTGGCCATTATTCCTAGTAACCCCAGGTGCTGCCCAGGGGAACAGAGCCTCCCCCAACTCCCATGGGTACCCCCTGGTGAGTTTGTAAATGGCCACCAGATCCCCTCTCAGTCTTCTCTTGTGGAGGCTGAATAGGTTCAGGCCCTTTAGCCTCTCTTCATAGGGCCTGCCCCACTGCCCCTTGACCATGCGAGTGGCCCTCCTCTGGACCCTCTCAATGCTAGCCACATCCCTCTTGAAGTGCGGTGCCCAGAACTGGACACAGTACTCCAACTGTGGCCTTGACAAATGCTGCATACAGGGAAAGGATCACCTCCCTGGACCTGCTTGTGATGCATCTGTAGATGCACGACAAGGTGTGGTTAGCCTTACTGACCACTTCCTTGCATTGGCAGCTCATGTTAATCCTGGAGTCAACAATGACTCCAAGATCCCTTTCTGCCACTGTGTTGACAAGAAGGGTGTTCCCCAGCCTATAGGTGTGTTGCTGGTTCCTTGTCCCTAGATGCAGCACCTTGCACTTCTCTTCATTGAATTCCATCCTATTCTCATCTGCCCACCTTGGTAATTTGTCTGTATCTAGCTGGATTCTGTCCCTCCCCTCCAGTGTGCCCACCTTGCCCCACAACTTGGTGTTATCAGCGAATTTGGACATCGTGCATTCCACACCCACATCCAGATCACTGATAAAGATATTGAATAGTACAGACCCCGGGACAGAGGTCTGGGGAACTCCACTGCCCACATCCCTCCAGGTGGAAAATGACCTATCCACCACCACTGTCTGGGTGCGACCATCTAGCCAATTTGCCACCCATCTGACTATGTAGGCATCAATGCCGCAGTCACCTAGTTTTTAAGAGGATGTGGTGGGAAACTGTGTCAAAGGCTTTCTTAAAGTTCAGGAAGATGACATCCACCCTCATCCAGGGACTTTGTGACCTGATCATAAAAAAAAAACAGGTTAGTCAGGCAGGATCTGCCCTCAATGAATCCATGTTGGTTGCCCCTGAGCATTACCTCCCCTGCTGGACCCTTGCAGATGTACTCCTTGATAATTTTCTCAAAGGTCTTCCCAAGGACCAAGGTAAGACTGACTGGCCTATAACTATTAAAAAAATGGGATAAGACTTTTAAAGATATAGCTCTTTGCAGTTGGGATGGGGGAGAGTATCAGTATTACCCTGGATTAAAATAGTTGGCGAAAGAACCGCAACAGTTCCTTACATCAGTGCCCTTTTGTAAAAATTAGTCTGTATGTAAAAGCTTGAGATATACAGGACAAAACAGCTCCTAAAGCTTTTGCTCCTACACTCAGAATGCAACCTATAAGTGTTAAGAAAAGGGCACACTTATACTAAATTGGTACCATTTTCCAAGGAATAATAGTAAAGCACGTTGTGCCCACAAAGACATAGGCCAAAAAGATTGTGAAACAGAGATTTCTCCAATCTCACTGTCTTTAGGATGGGACAGAAAATGAAGCACTTTAAAGCTGGTGACACCAATCAGGTATAGTTTCTTAGGATTTCTCCTTTGTGCCTCATCCTCTTCTTCAGTGATTTTTCTGAAGTGAAATGCATGAATTCTGGCAGTCCCTTTCAACAGAAATTACACTATTACACATCATTCAAACAATTTTCAAACATCTTGATGTGCAAGTCATTTATTCATTTTCACAGGACCTATACAAAGATGAAAAAGATGTCTTACCTAAAAGTAAAAAACCCAGATGTTAACTATAAATACTGAAGATTACACTAAGCCTATGTGGATCTTGCTATTTTCTTACCTTTACAGACTTTGCAGCAACTGTGAGACAAAGAGATTTGTTGAGACTCTGGGCAGTTCAAAGCTGGACAGCCAGATTTTGGAACACGCTGCATTTTGTGATCCTGTAAAATATAGGTCATTAGTGAATACTATGTGATGATAAATACAGTTAATAAATCAAATTAAATGTAAGTATTTAGATATACAATGAACAGGCAACAAAAGGTACCCAGTTCCAAACTCCTAGAGCCTTTGAAACCTCCTTGAAAGCATGATGAAACAACAAAAATCAGCAGGAACCTACACTGCATCTCTAGAAATTTTTTAAACAATACACTTCTCATCTTCCCAAAAATTATCCCTTAAACAACTTTTGTGTCCTCAAAAGGTCTTCCTAAACCCATGCCTAGAAAGTCAGCAATTAACTTTGCTATAGACTGAACAGACTGAGGTGGGGTTTTTAAAACCAACTTTTGACAACAAATGCTCTGCCAGAAGCAGATGGATTTTTTTTCTCATCTCAAGGAAGCTCTGCCTTGAGTCACCCTTTCCTTCCCCGATCCTTGCCTCCCGCCTCCCCCCTGTCTCAACTATTGAATTATAGCCCAAGGAGAAAGACAGTGGTAGGGTATAAGAAGAGAGGAAGTTCCTCAAGTAGGCAGGTGTCAAGCCATTTAGGACTTCAAAGGTCAAAACTAACTCATTAAACCTCATCTGTATATCCACAGGCAGTCAGCACAGATCAATGTAATAGGTCTCACAATAATCAATGTAATGTGTTCACAGTGGGATACTGCACCTAACAGGCAGGCTACTGTACTGTGCACCAACTTCAGATCACTACAATAAATTCTATTTGTAAACATTTGGAAACTAATCTTGAAATGGCAAAGGAATAGATCATGGCACCATAATTTCTTAATGAAGTACCTTTTGAAATATAAAAAATATTAATATGTGGGCTCCTTGTGGCAATAACTTCCTATTCTTATTTGTGTGAAAAGTGCTTAACATACTACACATGCTATTAAAATAATAATTATGTATTTGTTGTTTAAATATTAAATTATTTTCCCATCATAAAATGTGAAAGTAAAACACTGCAACCAGAATGATAACTGTCAGAAACCACTGCTTAATCTTGATATTCATCTTCTGCGACTCGTCATACAAAACCCAAATCTGATTCACAAAAATTTAAACAGACGTGAAACTATATACCACATATCATATGAAATGTTCAAAACTCTTCCCTAATGAAAAAAATGACATATATTAGAATGCTCAGGTGAACAAATTTTGTTCATTTTATTTTAATAATTCACTTGAAAAGTACATGTTTCTGCAACAGATGCAAGTGCAGCAACCCAGAAAATAAAAATGGATACTATGTGCACAACTGAAACCTGAACTAATTCCCTACATTAGCATTTTCCTACAATCAAGAAATCAGCATCTCTGTATCATCATCAAGTCCCTCTTGAATAAGGGTCATTAACTATATTTTATTAATGAGCTAAAGCCCACAGGTAATAAAACAGTATCTACCCATGGGTTCCTATTTTATTTGAACATCTGACAACATATGACTTGCCATGTTGAAATGCAATTCCTACTACTGCATTCTTGGAAGCAATAACTACATGTATTTCAATATTTGAAACTCAAAATTTGTGTCACCTCATTTGCTATTTTTCTTTTTTTTTTTAATCAGTGCAGTTGCAGCAGCTACAAAAGACCTTAGATATCAAAACTCTCAAATTTATTTGGGGCCTACAGTTTAGACTGCAACAATCAGTAGGTGCCTAAAATTAGGTTTCTGGGCACGTTTAGATGCATCCCAGTCTGAGCAGCTGAGTACCTACACCTGCTGCCAAACTTCCCTTATGATCCAGATGCAAAGCAGTACCTTTCTGCCTACAGTCTTGGAGGGGCCCAATCCAACAGGCATGGTCAGGGTCAGAGCATGTCTAACACATCACCAGGACAGAGTTCAGTCCAAAACATAGCATCCAAAAATACAACCAGAGGAGGTCAGAAACTCTGTATTTTGAGAGAACAGAAGTATCTAACATTCATCCCAGAGTCAGGCACCTACACCCTGGACAGGGCACTTGTTCAGATGTACCTCTGTGTTTTCTGTTTCTTATTATCTGGCTCTGGGCAGCTTCTTGCTTAGCTTTGGGACACTTAAATGACTTTTTGTGGCCACCTAAATCTTCTTCACTGAATGAGTAAGAATCCTAGACCCTTAATTCTGTTTCTCTGAATCACTCTCAGGCCCAGGGACTTTATTTGTGGGTGTTGTCACCCAAGGGCAAATCTGCATATTGCCTAGAGTAACAGGTATGCTGACCATCATCTTCACTAAATGGTATCATAATTGCTAATTATAATAAGTACAAAGGAGCATCAGGTGACTTTTATTTATGACTGACAATTATGAACAAACTGGTCACCAACAGTATTTGTACCACTAACCCCTTTTTCACAACCCTCAAAACTATATATGACTTATTCAACCATATTTCCAAAATAACTCCAGAATTTATTTCCTCATGATTGATTAGGCTCTCCCTTCCTAACTCAAGCTGATTTCATAGTGACTAGTCAAGCAAGTTAAGGTGCCACACAGACTGACAAATACTCCCAATTTCCAGACCTTGGTCTCTAGCCCTACTTTCTAAAATGCATCTCTTGGAAAAAAAATAATCATAGTTCCTACAGCTACAAAGTGACCCAGTAAACAGGTCTGGAGCAGGTGAAAGGGAGGTCTGAGGGCACAGGCACTCTTGCCGAAGAGTGAGGAAAAATCCTAGCTGAGTCAGGGAACACACCTATCTTGGCACTGAGCCTGAAGTGTAATCTACCATAATGTCTATCTAATATCCATAACCTTAAGGAGCCAAGATTTGGGGGAAAGGCTGATCTTTCTGTTTGACAGCAAAGACCTGGTGGGATTTGTTCTCTTATGTATGGTAGTTCAATTCAATGTCACAGGCAACACTGCAGTCAACAAATAGGCCTTCCCTCTCCTTCAGGGGTTGCTGACTACATAAATTTATATAAACTGGAAAAAAAATGGGTTAAAAATTTCCATCTAAATTCCATTAAAAAATCACCTGTCTAAAAAACACAAACAAGCTGAGCTTGACTGAATTTGTATCATGGGAAAGAAGCTGCAGGAACTGGTGAAGGACAGAGAACACAGCTGCACTACCTGGGGTGCAGACAGAAGTGCAGTTCCCAGCTGTAACTCAGAACAATTTTTGCCAAGTTTAATGTTTATCACCTCTCTAACTCAACAGTACATAATGGATATTGAGTCAGAGAGGTGATAAACCTAAGAAGGGGGGGGAGGGAGGGGCGGCAGGGAGGGACGCAAATTGATCTGGCCAGCAGTAGACTCCATTTCCCAGCAGCCCCTGCCCACATGGCTGGGGCTTGTCTCCATGGCAGCCTCAGCCACATTTGCGCTGTGATAGCACAAGGCTGGGGTTGCCACAGAGACCAGCCCCAGCCACACTGGCAGGGCCTACAGCAGGGCAGGGCAAGGGGTTGCTCTGGAGCTGCTCAGATCTTGCAGTGGAAGCAACTTGGTCTGGGGCCACAGCAGAGCTGCGATCTGCTACCTGCATGCTCCAGGAAGGCACACACAAGTAGAAGATTGTGGCCTTGCCCTGTCTCGGAACCACGCTATCACCGCTCCAAGGAGCTGGGTCAGAGCCACGATCTGCAGCCTACACGCTCCAGGCAGGGGCACACAGGCGGCAGATTACAGCTCTACCCTGGCCCCAAACCAAGCTGCTCCTGCCACCAGATCCCAGCAGCTCCAAACCAGTCCCCTGCCCTGCCCTGCCCTGCTCTGCCCTGCCATGCTGCCAGCGTGGCTGGGACCGGTCTCCATAACCCCAGCCTTGCACTATCACAGTGCAGCTGCAGTTGCAGCTGCAGCTACGGTGCCCATGGAGACCGGCCCCAGCCACGCAGGTAAGGACTGCTGAGAAGTGGATCTGCTGACTGGATCTGCCATTTTGCCCACCCCTGTGATAAAGATTAAGCCTCATGGTGACATCTTAAGATTTTCCTTTTCATAATGGAAATGTACATCACAGCTAAATACTGCATGGTGCAAAACATTCAAGGGGACACTGCTCTGTCTCTAGCTGCCATCTATAGAGCTGCATGGATCAGTGTGAAGTTGAAGAATTTCATGCATCTGTCTTATGTAAAGAAGGAGAGCAGGGGTGCCAACACAAGGCAATTTTTTTACTGACAAGTCTGCAAACTTTTTACTGACAAACTTTTTTTTAGTAACACATAGTTTTACTGACATATATTTTATGTGATGTAAAAGTAATCCTTCTGCCAGACCCTAGGCAAGGGCCAGGCTCAAAATTAGGGGTTTAACACCCATAATAGTTAAACAAGTTTGGTTGCCAGTAAAAAGTTTGCAAATTGCCAGTAAAAAAAAAATAGCTTAGATTAGCAACCCTGCTTGGTTGCAGCCATGGTTTTACACCAGGTATGTGCACATACCTCCCCTCAGCACCTGGCCCTGCTCACTCCCTCCTGGTACAGATCCCCAAAGAAAGACTGCTATCTGCCTACCTGTGAGGTAAGCAGTGTTATAGGCAGACAGGACACAGCACCACTCAACTGGAGTCCCCACCTCACTACCCCTGTCCTACTGCTCCAGGGAGCTCACCACCCAGATGATTCCAGATGGTGGCAGCGAGTCTGTCAAAGAGCTCAGGGCCAGCAGTGCTTCAGCCAGAACATCCCAGCAGAGCAGCTCTGGAATCTGCGGTGGTGACAGGTGAGCCTGCAACTGTTAGGGGCAGCCTGTCTCCATCAGAACACACTGTGCTGCAGCCACTACTGCCATCTGAAACCATTTGGGCAGCAAGTGCCCAGGAGCAGCAGGCAAGGGTAGTGGGGCAGGGACTGCAGTGTGCTGGGGACTTGCATGGGGGCAGTGGGCAGACAGCTGTAGTCCCCACTCAGTGGGGGCTAAAAGGTGGCTGGGGCAGATCCAACTTGGCCCCATGGATGGCCCCTACTGCATGTCCATCCTGTTCTACCTCCCTCCCTCTTCCCCTCTTTTTCATCCTCCCCTTTCTTCCCCTCCTCTCTCCCACCTGCCCTGCCTGATGCCAGGCTTCCCTTGGCTGGGGAACAGTAAAGCATGGGACAAAAAGGGGCACTGGCAAGGCTGAGGGGGCTGTAGCTTGGGAGTGAGTAACACCAGCATGGGCAGGGTACCAGCAGGGCTGCTCAGTGCTACAAAACAGCAGGAAGGACAGCCACAGCTGGACTCATGTTCTCGTGCAATGGGAAAGCTGCAGCAAGGAGGAAGCAAGTTGGGGGTAGGCAGGAGCTGCAAGCTGGGGTTGTGGGGTACTGGTAAGGCTTGGGAGGCTGTGGCTTAGAAGTGAGAGGCAGCAGCATAAGGGTTGCTCAGCACCACAAAGCAACAGGTGGGGGGAGCCACAGTTTGACTGACATCCTGGTGAATGAAGAGAACAGGGGGAGCTCTGATTTTCCATGATAAAAAAAACCAAAATCAAATGCCAAAAAAATAGGTATTTTGAATTTACTTTATTGTAATGGTTGAGGCACTGGTAAGCTTCCAAAGTGCGTAGAAATTGTAAATAGATCAGTTAAATAGATTTATTGATAAATTGTAAATATATCAATAAATCAATTTAACTGATACCTATATATATAGTGGTATTTCATTTTAATGGTGGGAAAACACAGATTTGGAGATTTAAAAATCAGAGAATTTTGAATGTTTTTAACAGAGAAAACTAGGGTCCCTGATCATCATCAGCTGGAAGTATCCTGTAGTCTAAATTTTGCTCTCACTACACTTCTACTACCCTTGTAGCTGAGCACATAATTGAAATAAAATAGAATTACACAGTTGTAAATGAGAGCATAATACGGCCTGAAAGATATTTATTACTGATGATGATGATGTATGAGAAGAAAAGAATAAAGCTAGACAGTCAAATCTCTAGTTGAATTTGCAAGGTTGGCACAGAGTAAAATCATGTTTTTACTTATGAAGTTTGATGTAGAAATCAGAAAGACAAAATAAATATTGGACCCCATGATGATGTTGCTATAGTCACTTTTCAAAAGAGATCTATTTGTACTTCAACATATTTATTCATCAAAACTCTGTCAGACATTTTTAAAAGCCTATTGGAAGAAAAAAATTTTCATCAGTGGTGCTCTTACCTTGCACTCAAACAGAACACAGTCCCCTGAGTTTGAATAGACAGTTTCTCTTTGACCTTCAAAGTAGGTTCTGCCTTCAAATATGCACACCGCTTTAAGAAAGAAAAAAAACACAACAAATTTGATACGAAAGCTGTATTACTCTAAATATAAAACTGATGTGCTTTCTTAAAGCTAAGCATATTTCAAAGTAAGGGACCAATTCAATTGTACACATAGTCTAATCCAGGCAACCAGAATTAAGGTAAGGGCAAAAAAAAGACTCAAGAGGAAGAGAAAAAGGAAGGAAAGGTCTCTGAAGTTAAAGGAGGAGCAGGGGGAAGGAAAAGAAGCAAAAAAAGAATACTTGGAGAATAAGGAAGACAAAGTGGAGATTGCATATCCTGGCTGGAAAGAAATGTCTGCCAATATTTCTAAGAGCCAAGCATAGAAAACAGTAAATTGACTAATGGGGATTTAGTGGAGGGCAAGTAAATATAGAATTAGTCTACTCCATTGCAATTTAGAGATGAAAAGGGAAAAAGATGATAGGATAGCAGTGGTGGGAGAGACAGATGGACAGGGTAATTTTCTTGAGAGTTATGGGGGGATTACAGAAGTGTTGAGTAACTACTGATGGTGAAATTTATGATTATTTATCCTTGTGCCTAGGGTCTAAACCAGTGGTGCTCAACATTTTTCTCCGGGAGGCCCAATAAGTAGTGTCCATTCCTTCTGTGGGTCAGATGTGGCCTGTGGCCCTGATCTAGTGTCTGGGGTGGGCCATACACAGGGGGACACGGAGCAGTCAGACCCCCCAATTCAGCACGGGTGAGAAGGGGATGGGACCCAGTCCTGATTCAGGCGTGTGGGGGAGAAGGGGGTATAGTCTGACTCTTATTCACCTGCACGAGGGAGAAGAGGGTGTGGTCTGGCCTGGATTCAGCCGCACGGGTGAAAAGGGGGCATGGCCCCGCCCCAATTCTGCCATGTGGGGGGAAAAGGAGGGTAAGCCCAGTCCCATCTTCCTGCTCAGGGGGAGGGAGCATGAGAATTCAGTAGCAGGGGAGGGTGGCCATGAGGAACCATGGGGAGCCTGCGGGCCAGATCCCATGACTCTGCAGGCCACAACTGGCCTGCAGGCTGGAGGTTGAGCACCCCCAGTCTAAGCTATTCCTATTATTCACTCGTATCATTAAATTACATTACTGTATGACTTCTACAATTTATAAGCTAATTTTCAAGGAACAAAATTTACTTGAAGTGCAAGCAGATTTCCAGTGGAACAAGAGTTCCCGGGATATTTAGGGACCTACCGAAATTGCAACAGAAGTGCACTGCATATCTGCTCCTTCAGTCTTACTCATTTTGCCACACACCCCCTCAATTGGCAGAGGGGCCCCAGTGGAGGCATCCAGGAGGCAAAAGCCAGAGTTTTAAATATGCCATGATCTTTGCCACCCAGCCAATCAGCAGCAAGTGGTGGGGTTGCCAGGGTTCCTCAGCCAATCAGCAGCAGGAGACAAAAACCATGGGATATTTTAAACCATGCTTTTGCCTAGAGCAGCAAGGCCACCAGGGCCCCTCTGTCAATCGGGGAGTGGGGGGGAGGGAGGGAGTGCACACAGCAAAATGAAAAAGATTAAAGAAGCACTTCTCCTGCAATTTTGGTAGGACCCTAATTATATTGCAATGATACACAGTAAGACAACTGTGACCTTTGTATATTTTGGAAGTACTGAGGCACACTGAAACATATGGCCCTCAGGACTGCTAACTACATCTGGTACTTGGGGCCCATATCTAAAATTTTTCCTTTTTTAAAAATGCTTATGCAATTATTTTAAGCATGAGCATAAATCTTAAAAGCTTGAATATTAAAAGTAGAAAAGCTGATAGCTCTGTGGCTTAAGATATTCTCAGGGCCTAATAAATAAGGATAATCATCAAACAACAGAAATAGGTCAAGGCTTTATAGTTCTAGATTAAAGGATAAAGGCCTAATTTACTAATAAGTGACATGGAGATTTCAATCAATTGCAGATGAACCCATCTACAGACAGAATTACCTACTGCATTAAAATGAATTTTTACAATTTAAGGGCATTTTAGAAATTCTAAAAAATAAAGAATTTCTATGTTACTGTCAATATTAATTATCATTATTGCTATCACCACTATTTTATATTTTAATTTCTCCTCTACTCTCCTTAACTCTTTCTTCAAGTCCATGATTTTGCAAATTTAGTATTTACATGTCTGCAAAACGCTTAAATATGTTGCTGGGGAGAGATATGGGGACAGCATTTCCTTTCATTTCTTCATATTTTGAAAGTATGGGTTACTTTTATTCAATTATACTCTCCTGCAAACACTAAATGCAGTCCTCTATCTGTGAACATTTACTGGTAAATCTGAATGGTATTTCAGTCAGTATCAGTGCCATCAAAACTAACCCAAGCCTTACTTGGGTTCATGGGTAAGAATGGGAAGAACAAGCTGACTAAAATAAGAATCGGCCTTAATATTCATTTAGAGCTCAACATAGATGGTTAGGCCTCCCTACTTGCTTCCTAATTTTTGGTGTCCTGATCCAAGTCTCATGCTCCTGTGGCTGATGAATGTAACATTCAGGAAGGAACACCTCAGTGAGCAGAGCATACTTGAGAAGCCCCAAATCTAATGAATACCAACTTGGGTTAATCTTTAGCAAGGGAGTTAGAAAACTCAGGGAGTAGGAAGGAGTCCTGAACTGCTACCGCTTGCTAAAACAGGGAGGAAGGCTGCTAAGCACCCATTACTACTTCAGTAAGGGCATGAGAGCTGCTAAAGGTAAGGTGTAGAATTTCTTTTCTTCTCCCTAAAAACATTATCAAGTGATGTAGGGGGAGGATAGAGAAGATAGTACTTCTGAGGCCTTTCAAGGAAGAGCCATGACTGCCTGGGGATTCCTAATTGAAATGTCTGCAGAAAATGTCGAAGTTTAAGGCCAGGAGAAACCTTTGGTCTGCCCTCTTACAAACACAGACCATAATGCTTCATCCAAATATCCTTATATTAAGCCAACAGACACAAGTTAAATTAAGCCAGTTTCCCCAGAAAACTGTGCGCCACAGACAAAGAACCATAAAGGAAAAAAGTGCCGCCACTGCCTGAGCCTCTTCAATGGCAGAGAACGGATTAGGTGAGATTTGCCCAAATAACCATGCCTCATGCTGAAGAGGAGACAGTGCTCCTCCCAAGGTTCCTATCATTATGGCCTGGGGAAAAATTCTTTCCCAACCACAAAACTGGCAATTAATATAAACCTGACCATGTGAAAGACAGACAGAGAAGATGCACTAACCAGGCATCTAGAAAGAGCAATGCTAAGTACC